GACACAATGCTAGAAAAAGAGCTTGTTACAATAGGTCCTCTTAGGATTTGCCTACTGCTCCATTCTAATTTGCTAAAAAATAAATTCCAATCATCAGCCGACAATTGTTTCAAATGAAAGCCAGGCATAAACAAATTTACTGTTACTCAGCTGCTATGGTTTAAAGATCTGAACTTTAAACAAAGGCTTCCAGCATCTTCACTATATAATCACAGGGTGCAGCAGGAGGCACACTAAAGGTGGTGGTAACACGCCGCTATTTCAGCTGTTGTTAAACAAATCATCTACCCTACACTACTGAGAGTGACTTGTTTCATTTCACAGCAGGTATACGAAAACCAAGGTCCTGGAATCAGATCAGCCTGTGGTCCTAAGAGAAAGACAAAAAGAAAACCCATACCAATTCTCCAGCTCGTTAACAGCTAGCTTGCTGAACACATCTGAAATAACTGTTTAGGTGGGCAGCTTTTTTCTTTGCCATATTATCACAGCAGCAATTAGATATGATAAAAGAGCGACAAGGGACAGGATGCAAAGAGTAACTTAATTCTGACTAAACACCAAGTTCCATAATTGCAATGAAAAAGCCCAGATCAAGCTCTAAGCCAAATCAGGTGTTTGTGGGAAAGCACATTCCTATTAGCAAGCTTAATTAGAAAATGGAACCAACGCCTATGTTAGCAGGAGCACTGTCACAGCCAGCCATCAATCAGCATGTGCAGGTGTGGTCACTTTGTAGACATGGGTGTGCAAACTCACCTCCGAAGTTGGCGAGCCGTCCAATCCTCGTAACAGGAACCTTTCGCTCCCGGGCCCGCTCACTGAGCTGCCGCAGCAAAACAGGGCAGGGAAAACAAAACAGAAAAGAAACCCACAAATGAACTGGGCATACAGTCAGATACTGCAAATTCAGACAGCAACTGGAAAAACACTTGAAGATCTCTGTGCTACAGCAAGCTCTTCTTGAACACCGAGCCTCATACTCATAATGCCTTAAACTGAAACATGCACTAAACTGAGAAATGTACAACAGGACGTGAAAGACAAAGGAGGCAATAACCATGTTTAGAAAGCCCATTTCCACTTTTACCTCAGCAGCCCTTTAATTGTCAACTTGGAGAAGCAGTGCAATGCCAACCCAAACTCTCTTCCACACATGCAATTAAAACTCCTGCAAAGCCATCAGGTTGGCAGGACCACAGGTAACTTCCTCACACACAACAGCAGAGCAGAAGCATACAGTTTCACTGAAGCAATATCCTGGGTGTGTAAACCCACAGCAGCATCCAGTAGTGGGTTGGGGGAAGGAGGAAATAGGTCAGAGCAGATGACAAGCATCTCCACTGTGAATCCTGCTGTAGGCTTTCTGCACTGTCTCGCACAAGGGCGTGAAGCCCTACAGCAACAATTGCTATCTGTGCTCGTCTCCAACCTACTAATGCTAAAGACAACAACCTCTCCACCTGCAGGGCTGCTAGCCATAGTACGGGAAGCCATGGCCTCTGCTGAGAGAGATTTAGGTCCAACCCGTCCTGCACAACCATAGCAACACTGCTAGCTGAAGGGGACAGGGTCCTTCAAAGGGAAGACAGGCCCTTTAAGAGAGTCAGTCTCCAGACCTCTGCAGCCCATAGCTGTCCATACCTTCTGAACAGTCCAGCCCAAGAACTGGGGTCAATTACAGACTCTTCATTACAGTAATTAACATATTGAGTCCTCACAGTCCAGTGGATGGAGAGCTCTTGTTAACATAAACTTTAAGTCTAACCCTATTTAAAGTTTGTTTTGTTTTTGTTTTTTTTTTTTTAAGGCATTTTAAACATCCTCTCACATTCAAATATCAGATGTAGAGGAGGTAGATATGAAAGCAGCCTGAAAACCTTCTGCCAGAACAAATATCACAGAGATCAGAGTGAAGGAGCACTGACACTTCCTTCTTTTGCCTCTACAAAAGGGAACAGGGGAAGAGGAAAAAATAAGAAACACAGGAGAAGGTGAGTAAAGGATAACCCAGTACAGAAGCGTTAGCACTGAGAACCCTTAATTAAAAACAACCCCCTCCCCCCAAAACAAACAAACAAACAAACACATACCATCTGTTTGTAGGGTTTCTGCTCTGAACCTGTTTTGGCCTGTCTGGCTTTATCAATATCTTCAGCTGTTAATCCACCAACAGAGGAATGATCTTGGTGAAAAGCCCTATTTTGTCCAAAGGCAGCAGCGAAAGGGTTTCCAGGGTCCCTAAAGCCTCCAAATAACCTTGCATCCATTCTGGGAGGGAACGGCTTCTGACTGAGGCCAGAATCTCCAGTCTCAACATTTCTAAAAGGTCCATTTGTAGTGTAAGAGTGAGCAGGGCCTTCACTGCTTTGTTGGTGAGGCTTGGCAGAGGCAGTAGAGAAGTCCCTTGAAGCATCTGATGCCTCTCGGTCTGAGAAGTCATAGTCTTTCCCAAAATCCTCAGACAGATCACTTAAGTTCTCCTGCTGTTTGCCCAGTTCCTGAAAACAATAATAGAAATACTTTAAGAAAAGAACTTAAACCTGCTCACGACTCATCCACAGTCCTCAGAGAAGGGCATGCAGCTCGGCTGTCCTGTCTCATTCAAGTAATTTGTAGAGAATCTGGCACCAGAGATGTTCACAATGAAAGCCAGGAAAAAAGAAGAGACATGGAGGACACCTGGACCCACTGGCAGTCTCTCAGCCACACTGATGGCACTAATTAATTGACAGTTCCTCAAATACCAGTAACTGGAAATGTCTTGTTCCACACACGCTGCCAGGAAGGGTCACTAACTGTAGAGATCTCTAGAAGCAGTGCATTGCTCAGGAACAACAGGTGATGGAAGATAAATAATAGCATGTATAGCATGGAGCCTCAAGGCTACTTGAAGCAATAACAGGTACTTATTTGTAGGCCAATTAAGATAAGCCTTCCATGGCCAAGGGATTGTAGTCATCAAACAAACAAATAAACAAAATTCTGTGCTTGGAGCAAGGATAACCACACTTGCTCAACACTCAATGCAAGCTTCTCCCAGTAGTCTTCTGTTTTGTTCTGTCCTGTCCTGACCTGCAAGAGTTGCCCCCCTGTGTGGGACTGTGGTTTGGAGAACAAAGGCTTTCAATTTATTGTATTCATTCTTTTAAAACTTCACTATAAGAAAGAAAATAGGTGATACACAGTCTACAAAGGTATCTGGGAGAAAACTATCTGAGAGTGCTTTTGCTTTTAGGCAAATGAAGGTTTGAAATCTCCACACACAGCTTTCATGCTAGGGCTGTCAAGATTCTGCTGAAATGAACGTAGTGGCTTTATGAGGCAGAAATCACAATTACTGCTAACTGCAGCATTTGAAAAGTCAAAGTTGAAGACCAAACAGAAGTAATAGTGATGTGTAAGCCTATGTAAATTTGACTACAAATATATAGTCCAATTTTTGTCTGTGTTTTATCAAGGGCTCCATTACAGTGTATCTGCTCATGCAGTGTGTACAACTGTGAAATTAACGCTTCATAAATGCTCAGAACTGGGGAGGGTAGGAAGGGAAACAAACTCATAGTGAACTCATGTTTTTTTTATTTGGTTGGTTTGGTGGCTTTTTTTTTGTTTTGTTGTTGTTTTACTTCAGAGACTGCAGAGATGGACGTGGTGTCCTTTGTCATCTGGTACTTGGTAACCACCTTGTCTACTCAGAGGTAAAGATCTCCCACTCTGGCACCTTCATTAAGCCAATGTAAAAGGATTGGAGAAGGTGTGCCTGAAGTATCAGACAAATGAAAGTATTACATCCTGTCCTAGTAGGAAATGGTCCCTCTATGTAGATGTGTTTGAATTTTGTACAGTGAGCATTTATCTATGCGTGGGAACTCACTACTTGGCCCTATATTAATCTTGGCAAAACAATATTTTGGGAGGGCAAGTTTATACAAGAACTATGTGAAGGAGGTTTTGTGAACATTACCATGGGTGTATGGCTGTATACTTGAGAGCAGATGTGCAGACACAAACTCAGTGCTTCTGAGTTTGTTTACACTTGTTGGAAGAGTCCACTGGATACACTGTCCTGGCTCTTGTTAAACCAAGACAATGTATGTATAAACACCTTGTAATTCTGACCTGCTTAAAGCTTTCTGAAACCCTCTGTAGTTCCATTAGCGGATGAAGAAGTCCCCAGAATGCCACCCTTGTCTACATGTTTCTCAAGTAACTATGTTTGGCCAGTAAGATCTCACTGTAGTTCTGTGGGAAGTGCTAAACAAATCGCCCTGACGAGTTCATAAAAGCTACTCATCATGGATGGCATTAAGCAAATGGGTTGCAAGTACTTGGTGCTTTCTTTTGTGTCACGCAATTGAGCACATGTCCACTCGGCAAAATTGATGGGATATTTCAGTGAAGCAGAATGTATACATAAAAAAATTTGTAAACAAAATCCAGTTGTCAGGGAAGGAGGGGACTCAGCAGGTCAGGGTGACGGCTGGACTTGATCTTGAAGGTCTTTTGCAACCTAGATGATTCTATGAATTTTGAATGCAGGGGAAAAAAGTTAAAAATAAATAAAATATCAGTCAGCAGCAGGAGTTTTAACTCCTACTCGTTACTCCACATACTCTAGTGGAAAATGTCCATTCTACCTCAGCAGCAGCAATGCCAAGGAAAAATTGTGGATGATTACAGCAAATCAACAGGATTTAAAGTTCTGGTGTGGTCAGGTAAACAGGCAGTGTAATTAGTGTTTAGGAAAGGGTCTAAAATACATTTCCCCTCTTTACAGAAAAAAACAGAACATTGTCTTTCCTGTTATTCAGTAGGTCTCATGGTATTTTGAGCCTCAACATCAGCGAGGGCAGAGAAGAAATCTGTTTAAAATGGGGACTGTGGCCAAGCACTGACTGATGACTTCATGCACGAAGGTCTCTCTACTTCCATACAGAAATTTTAAAAGAATATCAGACAGCTAAAACCTTGCCATAGATCGAGACAAATGAAATATATTCACTTAATATAAAAGCTTTACTCTTCAAAACTGAAAGAAATTATAGCTTGAACATTTGCAACACTTGAACAATTGCCATTTCTTTTAAAAAAGCTGTTTTAGCCCCAGCTTCTCAAGCAACTCATGCACAGAACATTGTGCAGAGAAACAGACACGGAAACAAGAGAACACTCTCTTTTCTTGAATGCAAAAGGAAGACAGAGGCAAAACAGAGCTCTATCCCCATAAACAAATAAACTTGGGGTATTTCTCAAGAGAAAGCTATTGCAGACTTAAATATGACAAAGGTAACACAGGCACAGATTCTAGGATTGAAGCTATAGGCAACTGTCATGACAGTTCAAACATGGCACAAAATATCATCAAAACTTCACCCATTAGTTTTTGCTTCAAAATCATGATCTGAGGTACAATGTCATTCTAAATGATGATTGCTCTTGATTTAGAGACGTTCTTTTCCACAGACGAGTCCCACTTTTTCCAAGAGATGGCAACACAGCAAATGTGAAGCTCTTATATATCCATCTTCATGTCTGGTAAGAGAAGCCACTGCTTTAAAAAAAAAGTCTGGCTTTCCTTATGTTCCTAATTGGAAAGCCTTTTTTTTTTTTTCTCTGAAAATCCAGCCTCAGCTGCAAGGGACAAACACCTGACCCTGAGCCATTCTGAAATATATCACATGTACCAGTTCTGTTAAAAAAAAGAAAAAAAGGCGGGGGGGAGCAACACTGAAATAATTGTAATTCACTCTAAGAGAGCTCATTCACTTATTCAAACTCGAGGTAATCGATGAATGACATCTCAAGGAGACTGCTGACCAGTCTTTTCCAAGTACTTAATCTTTGACAAGATGAAGTGAGCGAAGCATGCCTTAAACAACGAGTAATGGAAACCAGCACACTTCACTGTAACAGTAACCATCCCCTTGCATTCCTGCCCAAACACCTGCAACACTCTACAGAAGTCTTGGAGAATTCCCAGCATGTTCTGACATCTGCATTAGTTACCTAGTGCTTCACAGAGCTAGGTTCTGCTTCGTGACAGGATTTCCTAGGCCCTCTCACAACACAGAGTACCTGGAGGAGAAGCCAGAACATCATGCTAGTCTATGCACACAAGAGCTTTTCTTACCTGCACTTTCCCCCAGGCAGAACTAAACTGCTGTTCAGCAGCCACCTGCAGACTCCTTGCAACAGTAACCGCATCACCACCGAGGATCACCTGCCGTAGCTGTCCTGCTTGGGTTTCCAGGACGGCCTTACTGAGCTTTGTCAAACCTCTCATGACCATGATGGCATCCCCCGCCATGGCTTATTTCTTTCTCTGCTGAAAGATGAAAAAGAAAAAAAAAAAAAAAAAAAAGGCAAGAGGTCAAGGAACAAGTTTGCAACTAGGTTCAAGTCACTGAAGAGCCAGAGCGGTATGTACCAGACAATTTTGTTTCACTTTGACAACCAGCCACCATAGGAATTTGTTTGCAGCTCAGGTAACACTTCAGCCAGCTGGAATGACAGTAGGCTGTCACCTTGCCAGGCAAAGGCAAGGTGTCACTCTGACAGTGACTGCTCATGAGCTAGGACAGCGTTCCAGGACTTCACACAAATATTCAAGTTATCTTTAACTGGAGGAATCATAGACAGATACATTTCAGCAACATTGCAAAGACTGCCTTAATTCTTCACAAATGTTTAAAAAGGATTAAAGCATTAGAATCAACTCCTGATTATCAGGGAACATATTCTCAGTGCCTGATAACACAGATGAAGCATACTGACAGCTGCCACATCCCATTACTGCCCTGGCGCCACTGTCATTCATGTAAAAGAAAATCAGGGCTGGCTGGGATCCCAAAACCATTTTGCAAGGAAGAGTTACACCTGATTATTATTATTATTTTATTTATCTCCCTCATCTTTCAAGCATTGCAAGGATTATTGACTGTAGGGCTTTAAGCAGCTTGGAGGGTCCAAGACTTGCATCTACATCCATGGTTTCTAACAAAGAATATGAAGGCATGCTATCAGCACAAGATACTGTCTAAGCTTCATCCTTATCTGTAGAATATTCTCCCTGATGGGTTTTGTAAAAATCTGGCTTCAACAGGTACCAAGCACTACCAAGACCACAAATTTAAGTTATGTCCTAGGTAGGTATACTGACAGATGTTTAAACAGTGATCAAGATCAGGAATAACTGAATAGCCATGAAGTGAGTATTACATATTACATACTTTAAAGCATGATTGTTAGAAGGATGGTCAAGTGTTAGCAGCACACCTAGGTTTAGTGTGTTATCTGTAAAATAAAAATTAAGTTGACCCCAGTCATCATTCTGTGCTTAACCTTACAAAACCTGTCCCTAAACTCCAGATCTGTAACAACTGTTATTTCTGAATCCCTGTAGCATTTAATCACACGTTTAATGCTACAAAATGCACTTTTGTATCATACTGTGCACAATCCCCATTGTGAAATATATTATGAAGCAAGAGACAAACAATCCTCCTTTATAGTCTTTGGCTATAAAAGATGGCACATTGCTCCTGATGATCTTCTGACATCCATGTTACCATCCTCACTTTCCTGCACACAGTGGTTACAGCCATCTAGGTATCATGCAAGTGGTTTCTTAGCCCAGAAGCATCAGCAACAGGTTCCTATGCTGCACAGGAAAGGTTGGGCTATTACAATGCACCATTCAGCCCCACACCTCTTTGCTTGCTGAAACAGCAGCTTCTGTGTAGCAAACGGAAGCCTGCAGGCAACTGACTTGCTGTCTTCAACCACCTGTCACAGATTCCCTGCAGGTAGCTAACAAACTGCGAATGGAAACCACAAAGACAAGGCATAGCTCAGTAAAGAATTCAGAATACCCCAAGGAGTTACTAACACAGAAGGCTGAGAAGCATACATGGAAAAGCAAGACCATTCCTGCTTTTTAAACAGAATTGTGTCTGTAAGCCATCTACTTCCAGTTCCTCATCTTTTGTACACCGAATCCTCACCTTTACCTGACAAAGCAAGGACAGGAAAATGCAGAGGAAACAAATACACACAGACACACTGAAATTATTACTCCTTTGGCAACAGCCATCAAGAGAAAAGAACATTCAGGCAATGTCTACATCCCTTATCAAGAGCTATGAGGGTGGGAGATAAGTGCAACAAGAACTGAACTGATTGATACTGGAAGCATTTTCCTCAACTGGAAAAAAATCTCATTTTGTAGATCCCACACTTAGCAGGACACATGGGTTAGTTATCCTAAAAACGGCACAGAAAGAGGACACTAATGAGGTCATTGCAGCCAGAAGGGAAGAGCATGGAAGAAAACACCTGCTAGACAATCACAAAGGGAAAAAGACTATACACAACAAATAACCAAGAATTAGTAGAATTATCTTCTTTCTTCAACAAACAAGTGAGCACAAGGATGGACAGGAAACATGAAAACTGAAAAACAAAGAGAGCAGCAGAAGCCTGGTATGTAACCCCAGCAATACACACACATGAATACCCAGTACAGACAGGAGGCAAGATATATATATTTTTTTCCACTAAGCTCTATTCATGCTACTATTAAATCAAGAAAAAAAAAAAAAGCATAAGCAAGCTCTATCAAACTGATTTTAAATCAGGTTGTTTCAAACAATTGGTCCTAGTACAGGAAGTTTATGTTACACTTGACTTGTCTCCTGAGGACTCGTTACCTAGCTCTGGCAAAGATGAGGCCTTTCTGTACAGACAGGGACAAGTCGGCCACATCTGCACAAGCTATCGGAGTGCCTGCAAACCTGGATCAGAAAGCTGACAACCGTCAATTACCAGCTATTTGCCAAGAATAGGTGTGATCACCTTTGAATTAACCTATGGAAAGCACCCACAACTTACACATTACTGGGGCGGCTAGAACCAAGTCACCCTTGGACACTGGACAAAATTCACATGGCAGGTGGGGGTCTGATATGGGTTGGATGCAACACTTTAAGGTAGACAGCCTCTTTACATCTCACAAGGCTTTGAGCCCTGCTGCAATGCCACAAAACCAAATCAGGTAATAATGAAAGCTGCCTTCGAGACTCCTGTGTGCAATGACCACCTGCCAAAAAGCCACCGTCCTTCAGTGAATTTCCACATTGCCTTCCTTCTTCAGCACACCAGGCTACTGGACTGCAGGATTAAGCAAGTACAAGTAACCCAATCACATGAACAAAAAGCCTCAGAACAGGCAACAAATAAATTGTTATATTTGTACTGTTTCCAAAACATGTCTTCATTTGTTCCTCTTCTTTTCCACATGTTACCATGTGCTTATGCAGACCATTCTCTTACACAGACCACTCTCTTACTCCATGTTTTTTTTTTCTTCTAGGTGCTTGTACAGCCCAAAATCCTATTCATATGTGCACATTACATGTGCATGTATACACAAACACATACACAGGACAGAGATTAAGTGTAGGGAGACTTCTAATCCTACAAAAATACACCAGAATTATTTTTGAAAACTTTCTTCCAAAAATACAGCTCTCTCAATGCAGAGGAATTATCACCAACAGTTTACTATCCCCACAAGAAAGACGCTCATCTGCTGTCAGTTTAACTAAACAAACAAGCCCCACACAGGCACACCACCACAGAGCAGTTTTGCACTAGCCCACATTCCCCTCTAGGTAATTTTAAGTGCCTACGTCATCTCCAACTTCTCTTTTAAATTAGTTAAAAATGAAAACCATTAGTACAAATAGTAGGGCAGATAATTGTTTACAGCGTTCCTTCATAAGCATGTAATTCAATCCCTACGCCTCCCCCCCTTCCTATTTTCTATCATCACAATCACTGTTATCTTCACTCTATCTAAACAAGGACTATAATCTTGGAATCAGTGTTAAAACCACCCACACCATGAACGCTGAAGTAGTTGTGGCAACAATATGAAATTAAAAATTAGATGTAATAAAACATTTTAAAAACCCACAACCACAAACAAGATACAAGTGACCAGGTGCTCAGCACATTTTTTCCATGGCCCTAAGCCCAGCAGCAGACTACAGTAACTTCAAAACAAGAGTTATTCATTAAGACGTTCTCTAACTTATCTTTTTCCTTTAAATTAAACTGAGGATGTGCCTTGCTTATCCCCTCACTCTTCCCTCTCCTTGCATCTCATGTATGTTTCCACTTCAGAAGAAATTTGTTTAAAAGATCTGACCTGCAACAGGACTAAGAGCTCAATTAGACTTCTGCCCCGTGGCTTCGATTCAAGCCTCCTTGAACTAAATTCAAGTCTCTGAAAGCAAGTTTAAAACTACCCTTGCACAAAAAGTTTGCCAATGCAATTCAAGACAAACACCTTTGAAAGGCAGGCAGAACTTGTTTACTCTCTAATCATTGTAAGAGCAGTACGTGCACTGAGAGAAGTGGGCTGCCTGGCAGACAAATGCATCTTCCCACCAGAATTCACAAGGCTTCATAAACACGTCTGGCAAGGAACAGAAATGTAGAAATAATGCATTCACAATTAAGATCCTAGCAAGAGAGCGCATTCCCTCAGTACGGTTCGCTTCCTCTATTATAGTGTCGATACAATACACTCATAAATTCTGGCCCAGGCACATGTTTCCCACCACACTGATGTAGATCTGATTTGGTTTGATTTTAAGGCTAAAACTCACTCATTTTCCCCCAAGACTGGGTTCTGCTCCTGCTCCAATAAAATAAGTATTTGCAATTGGGGGACCAAAAGAAAAAAAAAAAAAGCTTCATTTACCTCATTCTAAGGTCTTTAAAACTCACTAACCAGGCAAGGAAAGATTTGTGCCATTTTTGCACTTTTTCTTGCTCTGTTGCATTGAGGCTGTGGTGACACGGGTTTGGTTTTCTAACTGGAGTATAAACTGTCCAAAGCAGGGGCTATCAGGGCACCACCCTTCATTCACCATTCTTCCTTTCAGAAAGGCAGGTTTCTGGATGTAAGAAGTGACACACTTTACTCCACTAGCCTTTGATCCTGGAATTACGAGGCTGTTTCTTCCAATCCCCATTCCAACCAGCACTGAGTGCAAAGCAGCATTTACAGTCCCCTCTTCCTCCACCAACTGAGGTGATACAAACAGAAGCAGCAGG